CACACACACTCTCACACACACACACTCTCACACACACACACTCTCACACACACACACTCTCACACACACACACACTCTCTCGCTCACACACACTCTCACACACACACTCTCACACACATCAAAGACGTTTGAACACACCGATGTCATACTTTATTACGTCAGAGGAAAAACAACTTTTAAACTCCGCGTTTGCACCACAATAACATACCAAACGAAGAAAATATAACAATGAAACACAACGTCTTCGCTGATTTGTATTAACTTGTATAATAAGTTTGCGAAGCTGCTATGCTAATTACCTAGCCAGCTAACCTTAACAACTAATCACAGCAGAAGAGATTTGATTTATGAAATATGAGGTAAATGAGTACTTACTATAGTCATATCTCCACTGGCTGAGTTTAATTAGTGGCCAATTGTGCAGATGAGCGCAGTAAATGAGTGTTTTTCCAGTCAGATGTGTGAAATCTCTTCACGGGACTCATCGCTCGTACCGAACTCCCTCACAGACACCAAAAACAGACAAACTTTTCCATCTATCCATGTCTCGCAGTCCAGAAATCGGGGAGAAAGGTGGGAAAACGCTTTGAAATGTTATTGTAGATGCTGATCGCGAAGTCTGAACAGTTTTCGCAGCGTTTTCTATGGAAATAAATGTGGTATTTTGGTGGAGCAACAGCACAAGTGAAGGCGCTCGAGCAAAATCACTGTAAGCTCGCGCAGCTCCGCTCTCACTCTCTCTGAGTTTAATTAGTGGCCAATTGTGCAGATGAGCGCAGTAAATGAGTGTTTTTCCAGTCAGATGTGTGAAATCTCTTCACGGGACTCATCGCTCGTATCGAACTCCCTCACAGACACCAAAAACAGACAAACTTTTCCATCTATCCATGTCTCGCAGTCCAGAAATCGGGGAGAAAGGTGGGAAAACGCTTTGAAATGTTATTGTAGATGCTGATCGCGAAGTCTGAACAGTTTTCGCAGCGTTTTCTATGGAAATAAATGTGGTATTTTGGTGGAGCAACAGCACAAGTGAAGGCGCTCGAGCAAAATCACTGTAAGCTCGCGCAGCTCCGCTCTCACTCTCCTCAGGCCCGAGAGAGAGCGCGAGAGAGAGAGAGAGAGCCCGAGAGAGAGAGAGAGC